CAGTGCTCTTCGCGCCTAGAAACGTTCTTTATATGAGCAAATCAAAACGCTTAAAAAATGCACACACCCCTGTTTAAGATAATAGATAGAATCAGGTTACATTAGATTACGTGCAATTCCAATGTAAGTTAATAAGACCCGGTAAGAAATAATTCGTCGAAACGATGTCGAGTCGACATCGATTGACGAGTCGTTTCTCGCCGGGGACTCTTATGTATTTACATTGAAATTACATGTAATCTAATGTAATCCGATCATATTCTAATCTAATTGTTTAAACAGGGACTGCAAATCCAAGTGTTTTACTTTTGTACACATATATGGGTAATTTGGTGAAGGGATGTTTTACATACTTCTTGTCTTTTAAAATCGCGACGCGTGACTCAATATACGTCACTTTGAACAGCAAGAAATGTGCAAGATCATCCAAGTGTATTAGGGTAAAACATTTGGATTTGCAGTGCAATTTATCAACTTGCACGAAGTTTTTAAACGTACTTATTGGCTACACAATAGAATGTTTCTAGGCGCAAACAGCGCATTGTAGCTCAGGCTTAAATGTCGGAGAACTCGCAATCACCCTTCGATCAGGTCGTGCGATTTGTTACACGGGGACACTGTCCGAACGTGCACATAATTTTATGCGTCCAGGCGCTCGACACGTTTCACAGATCAAAATATCATTTCCTTCAACGCAACTACTTTGATATCGAATCGTATAAACGTGGTTCGTGCGACGTGTCTCTTTTTGTCAGCAACCGGAGACCTATCGATATTTATTGACAGCTAAATTACTTATATACATCATCTAATAATATTCTGTTGATATTAAAAAATTTATATTACGTTTTACATAATTTTAGATAATATTTTATGTGTGCAACATTCAAGAGAACGCGTCGAAGGATCCTAACGAGATTTCTTCCGCTTTGTGACGAGGAGCGACTCTTTTGTCTCATTTCCTCGCGCGTCTTTCGTAGCTACGAGATTGACTGACTTCAGACTTTTGTACACTAGGAATCACTGATGCCTTCCCACATGAATTTCGTGCACATATCAACACATTTATACATTTTGCATATACATACATGAAAATATATGTGTTCTACCTGTGCCTAAATTCATAAGGGAAGGCGTCGGTGATTTCTAGTGTACAGTCGGGAGCACTGAGGTTGCGACACTTTTTTTTTTATAAGTTTACGAACGCGCAAAATAATTCATGAATTATTTTGCGCGTTCATAAACTTATAAAAAAAAAAGTGTCGCAACCTCAGTGCTCCCGACTGTACATTGTAATGAAGATTATTATTAGTAGGCGATTTTTGGTGACCGTTTGGTACGAATACCAAAGTGTACCAGAGCGTACACTCAGCGTCACGAATGCCTTTACATCTGAAGAAAGACGCTATAAACACCCAGTGAGAAATGGTTCGTCGAAACGATGTCGAGTCGACATCGACATTGTCAAATTCGACATCAATTTGACGGTGTCGACGTGGATTAGACATCGTTTCGACGTCGACGAAGTCATTTCTCGTTGGGTGTCCAACAGGAAAATTTATTTTAATAAAATGAACTGTCCTATCGGAATATATTGAGCTTAACGCCTATTTTCAGGTGTAAAAGCACGACGCCGAGTGTATGCTCTGGTACATGTACCGAACAATCGCCAAAAAAATTGCCCATTATTCTCGCGTGATATTGTCAAAGCGAGCGCGATAATTCGCCCGATCTACCGCGGGCGCCTTCTCTCATTGTCGCCTCCATTGCCGGTCGGAAACCCGAGTTGCGTCGAACGCGCGTGCACGCGACAAACCCGGGGAGCTTATCCGTGCGTTTTTGCGATCGTGCGAGCGAGCGAGGCTCGAATTCGAGAACGCCGACCTCAGCGTCGCTCCGTCGACGATCTGCAACGAGTGTGTTTCAGCGCGTAAAAAAACGCAACTACCGGTTGACGCACTCCGGCGGCGATGGAAGAATTGTCGTTCGATCAGCGCACGTTATTATTAAAATAATGCGACGAGCGTTATTTTAATAATGTGCGCTTCAGAATTCATCTCCGGTACACGTAGGAACGTCTCGCTGTCGAAGCAATCGCGCTCGCGTTGGAGTTTTACACCGGGCTGCGTTCAGCAGAAAAAGCTACTTTGCAACCGTTGTAAAAATCGCGAATCTGATTGGCGAATGCTCTTAATTGTCGCAGAAACTAAGGGCATACTCCAATCAAATTTGCGAATTTTACAACTGCTTTTTCTGCTAAATGCAGCCGTTCGGCGATGGCGATAATTTAATTAACCGCGACGTTAACGTTTTAACATCAACGTTTTAAAATAATTCTATTGCGATCACGCTACATATTGGTTTTGTATTTTATATATTCGGGGACGTTGCGGTCGGCAAATGTGCAAGTTCATTTCGAACATTATGCAACGGAGAACGCGCGCTTCCCGCGCGTGCAGGACAATGATGCATAATTAAATTGAAAAAAGAAATAAGATACATTATCAATAGCGTTTTATTCTCTCTCTATGAAAAAATGTGCGCTATTTCCTCGGTCACTCAGACAAGTTTAACTCTTCGCGCCTCCTTTTCCTGTTGGCGTTAATAACGGGTATATTTTGCCTCAACACGCACGCCCGTTCCTTCTTTCGTGAGTGCACGGCCGGGCACGTACCGGCTCGTGCTAACTGCGCCTCTTTGTTTTTCCCCCCGGCACCTTGTGACACGTACGCGTGTATCGATTCGACTCCGCGCTTTTACGCACGCACTCCCCGGCCGGCCCGAAAATCCGAAGGGAAATGCAACGTGACGAAATACGCGCAGCTGATGTCCAAAGTTGGAAATGCACGGCGCTTCGCCCCTCGGCAATTTTAGGATCCTTTCGCGCGAGTGAGAGAGTTCATTGTCCAGCATTCGTGAAGTATCTGCGCACTTTATCTGTCTAAAGCTCATTTCTACCAACGCAGTTCAATCTCGGTTCAACTTACTTTTTATATATTTTATACTTTATATACTTACTTTTCTAGCTTTACGAATTAAAAAATATAAGAAGTGATTTAAACCGAGATTAAAGTTAATCTGCAGTGCCAGAAACTGGCATTAACAAATTAAAACTCCGTTAAGGTCCGCTTCAAATTGATCGAGAAATAATATCGCGTCATTTATTCGTGCCTTCACGAAATCGCACTCGAGAAGAAATCCCGTGCCTTGGACGTACAACTGGAGACCTATTGGCGTCAAGAAATTATCGCTAATAAGGATTATTTCTAATTTCGCAAACTTGGCTCTTTTTTTTACAGATGTACTACACGTGTTTGATAAATCAAGGATGAAACGGTTTTACTGTTTGCGCTTAGGAAACGAGGAAACGGAAACGTCAACGGTAAAACGGAGCGTACAACGGGCATATGTTATACTTTCCGTATTATTTATATTAACAATATATTTAACTTTTAATTATTCGCTGGTGTTAACCAAATACGGCAAATACGTTGCATTATCTTCGCTAATCCATGCGGTGATACAAACACACTCGCGCACAGGGGTAAGTTTTATAATCTTAATACTCTCGTCGCTTTCCACTTTTCTCGCGGGGAATGACTGATGACAGAAGGAGAATGAAAGTACGACGGATGTACGCCATTCATCTCCCGTTTCAACGGTTAATCTTCTTCGAGAAGATCATCATCGAGATTAACACCCTGGAACAAAAAAGAAGTCAATCATTTTACAAATGTTCCCCAATGCTTGAACAAACTGCCACGGAACATACTCAATCGTCGTGTTTGTAAAATAATTAAAAAATCATTTAAATTTTACAATCCCTTTCCTTCCTCTCTCTCTCTCTCTCTCTCTCTCTCTCTCTCTCTCAAAATCGTAAACGCGAGAAATATCGAAACGCAGGTATTCCTAAATGCACCATTGCGAGTGAATGGGAAAAAGGGAGGCAGAGCGTGACAAAACGTAGTAATGGTCGGAACCTTATAGTAGGAGGGGTACAGTTCGACTCCGGAGTCGTGTGTTATGGCAACAAGTCTGTAAACAAAATGCGGCGTGACTGCCTCGCAGCAAACAAGCCCCCCGAGGCCTTTCGCAAAAGCTCGCAGAGAAAAAGAGAGAAAGAGAGAAAGAGAGAGAGAGCGAGCGAGTGTGTGTGTGTGTGTGTGTGTGTATACCACTGTTCTCCCGCGGCCCGTATCAGTTACACCAGGGCCGAGCTTAATGATCTGTCGCCGATTTTCGCGTTGCACATATGTGCATGCATCATGATACAGATGAGGCTTGTATAAATCTAAATGTCTAAATTCCTCTCCCGAGAGAGGGAGTTTAACTTGGAGAAATATTTCCTTCGATTTCACAACGTTAGTATTAAACGAAATCATCTAATAGACTTAAGCCCGGTTTCACCAATGTCGCTTAATTTTACGCTTGGCCTAATTCGTTCTTTGTCCCTTTCCAACTGCTACCCTAGAAAGAGACAAACGTGAATTAAACTAAGATGAAAGCAACGTTTGGTGAAACCGGGCCTTAGAGTGTCTCGCTCAACAGGATATTTCGCTACTTTTTTGCATTACCGTTACTTAAATCACTTGCACCACGATTTTATTATTATTTTTCAGCGACGCATTAATCGCGTTACACGTGTATTTGCTTCACGATATATAGTACGCGTATAAGAGTTATGTAAATACGACGTGCATTTCGGTGTATTCCGCACGTGCACGCGGGATTTATGCATGTATGTACGTCGCGCAGCCCCTTTCTTGCCGTGTTTTGGTAATGCTATACCCGTCTAAAGTTACGTTCATATTTAAGAGCATTAAACCGTCGCCTAATTGCAGGCCCTCCGACTCTTATTTGTTCGCGCCTCCTTCGCCTTCGGCTTATCTTCAACGATCTTGCCGCAAGGTTCGACGCTCGCGTTACAATTTTTGTATATAGATTCGCTTTAAAGTAAATCCGATCATTTTTAACCGTAGAATGTTCCTAATTATAGAACGTACGTTCTTCAAAACAAAAGGGAGTACGAAGAACCGAGACATGTACGGAGAACGCTGGCAGAGTTAAAATTATCATACGTATGTCCGAGCATGTGCGTCGAGCTATTTTAGAAATGTTACGAACAATATACCACACTCACTGTAGTATCGATATTATCGTCGATCTCCAGATCGATGTCTAGGTCGTCGTCGTCCACCGTGAGAGGCCTGGCACTACTCGCGGGCTTGGCCGTCGCTTTCTCAGGTACTTCTGGATGCACGGTGGACGTGGTTGCTTTACTTAGGAAGACGCTGTCCTTTATGCCCGATATCGAAAGATCTTGCAGTCTGTCGAGCATCGCTTCGGTCGACTTCTCCTCGATCTCGACGATGCTGTTCACGCCCTTGTATTGAAATGCGCCCGACTGCTCGGCGGCCAGCATCTCCTCGAACGGTTTCCGCTCGGTGTTAGACTGTAAAATTAATATACCACATTCTCCCGGGCTGTAACGACGCGATAACAAAGATGCGGGGATGTGAGATTTGGATTATCAGTAACGAGCGTGACCCGATTTTATCACGTGATTACGAGTACTGCTATAGAAATATTATTCAACTCCTTCACGGTCCTTTTGTTGCTGTTATTATACCTGTCGCTCGCGATTGAGACGAGCACTAGATTGGCCTCGGCGCGGCGATTTGCGTCGTGTTAATGCTATCACAGTTTATTGTTTTTCGATCAATCGCCTTAACGCGCTACTAATCGTTTATCTCGACGTTCGCCGCAATCCATATCGATAACTGAGACTCTAATATCGGATTCTTCTTGTTAATATCGTTAGTACTTGTAACGCAATCGTACCGTAACGGTAGGAAATGCAGAAGCTGGAATCTTTCTCTTGCTTTCCTCCCGCAAGAATTTCTCCACCTTCAGGGCTTCTCTGTATCCGGGGAAAAGATTCTCGTACTGTTCGGGATCCGCCAAACTCTGCCCGGCTTTCTCGCTCACCGCCGACAGTTTCTCCTTCCACAGTTTGATGATGGAGGAGATTTTACTGGGTGCGTACGTCCTGGCGAAGAACGCGGCCTCGGGAATTCTGTCGGTCTTGATCAGGATGTCGAGACATTTGTCTACATCGCCCAATATGAAGTTCGATAAGAAGGAAATGTTGTTCTTGCCCGTTTCGTTCGCCACCGTGCCGAGCTTCTGTATCATGTCTGCGTTCCCTGTGCTGGTCGCCAGTAACAATAGGCCGCCAAAATCTTGCGCCTGATGCAGGCACTCTTGCGCCAGACAGAGTTTGCCCTTCTGCGTGGCGAGGGACGCCAGTTGCCGCCACTTCTGCTGGCTGTTCGCTTCCTTGGCGAGGATATGCGCGGTCGCGAGATTCCCCAGCGCGAGCGCCAGCTCGAATCTGTGCTCGGGGTCCGTCGACACCGCTAGAGCTTGTTCCTTGAAGCCCTGTAAAATGAAGACGAGGGTGAAAACAGTTCTCGCGATGTCATCGTCGATGCGACAACAAATGTATCGTTATATTAAAGCACACACCTGCTTTTCCAAGAAGTGAGCTACTCGCGTCCGATGTTCCTTCGGGACAGTCGGTAATACTCGGTTGGCAGTTTCGAAATCCTTTCGCATGACTGCGGTCTGATACTCTAGCACCGACAGTAGCAAGGAGTACGAGACGACCGATAGTTCCTTGTCGCAAAGATACAATCTATTGTCTCTCGGTACGTATCCCAGCAGGTACATCGGTCTGTCCAGATGGGAGACAGTGACCACCTCGCCGCCGACGAAGTAATTAATGCGATTGACGCTGTTAGTGTAGATGAAACAGTCGCCGACCCACAGGCCGGTTTTCACCACCTCGCTCATCTCCGCTATCATCTGAAAATATTATTTATAAAGATTAGAGATAAAAAGTACAACAAGACAGCATGCAGATAAAACGTACGAACGTACCTCGAACGCATTTTCAATGTCCTCGGCGTTTTCCGTGGCATTGGCGACCGCATCCGCGTGATACTTGAGTATAAAATATTGGTCCGACGTGGCTAGTGCCACCAGCGAGGCATTCTCGGCCCAATACACGTGCGTGGGTTGTATGTCTATGCGACGGATCAACTTCAACGTGTCCCAGTCGAAGAAGGAGAGGCCGGACCCGGACGATACGCCGAGCAGAAATCCACCAAAAATGCCTGCAAGCGACAACGATTACGTTAAGAGTCGAGTCGACGCGGAGAGCGAGAGAGAGATGGGGCGAGAGCAACGACGCCATACCATCCGCTCCGAAATCCGGCTTGAAGCTTTTCTTCTCCTTGAAGTTTTTGAAGACCTTCACCGTCGTGTTACTCTCCCTCACCGCGTACTGGCTCGAGTCCGCCGCCCACACGAATTCCGACGCCTGCCCGAACGCCTTGTTCCTCAGCGCCATCGACGTGTATATAATGTATTCCCCGTCGCCGCAGACCACCAGGAAACGGCCGTTCGGATTGTGCTGTATGGTCTGCGGGTATATCTCGCAGGCGCCCATGTCCTTGACGGCCAGCGGCAATCGCTCTCCGTCCTGCGCCTCCTCACCCAACGCCTTCAGGTTCACCTGCTGGATCTCGCTGTGACGCGCCCACACGATCTTCCCGCCCAGCGAGTCCATCGAGACGGCCGGCTCCTCCCGGCCGACCTTCACCATGACGCTACCCTCGTCGTATCCGATGGCGACGTTGTTCGAGCCACGCATGCACGCTATGGTCCACACTCTCTCGAAGCCGTAGTTGAGAGAGGACTCCAGCCTGTACGTTCCCGCGTGCCATATTCTCACGGTGCCGTCTTCCGAGGCCGTGAGAACGATCGGCAGCTCCGGATGGAAGCACACGGCGGAAATGTTCTGCGTGTGGCCCTCCAGCGTCTGGACGCAGGTCTTGTTCTGATAATCCCATATCTTGACGTATCGGTCGTCGGCCCCCGATATCAGGTACGGCTTGTCGCCACCGTGGTAATAATCCACGCAATTCACGCCCTTCTCGTGACCCTCGAGGGTAAAGTTGGCCGTGGGCGAGCCGAGCTGCCACACCTTGACGGTTCTGTCCAGGGACGCGCTGGCGAAGGTGTTGTTGTCCTTCGGGTTGAATACGATCTGCATGACGTAGTGCGTGTGACCCTCGAACACTTGCTGGCAGATCCAGGACTTCTCCCAGTTCCACAATTTTATCCACATGTCATCTGTACGGAAGAAACGTCGCCGTGGTACAAACTGGCCGGGGGCAAACAGTTCAACGCAGAGTCACCGTCGTTCGACTTACCGCTGCTCGTGAGTATGAACGGCTGCGTCGGATGCACGGCGATACACCTGACATAATCGCTGTGGGCCTCGAACGAGTGGACGCGCTCCAGGGTGTTGTAGTTGAACACCCGGATCTGCATGTCGTCGGAGCCGGTGATTACCCAGTTCTTGCGGGGCACGAACTTGGCCGTGCGCACCGGCAGGTCGCACACCTCGAACGTCTTCACCAGGGTCTGCGTCTCGTGGTTCCAGATGTTGACGTTGCCCTGGTACAGCGAGCACAGCATCCATGGCTCGGTCGGGTGGAGATCGACGCTCTTCACCCGGTCCGACCTGGCCGTCAGCTTCCGCTTGATGTCCAATCTTAGAGGCTGAGGGAAAGGATCCTCGATTTACAATTCGCCGTGCGAGTACGCGTTTTTTTCTTTAAATTTCCCGTCGAGATTGTCGCCCTACAGTTTTTATTCCAAGGCTGCTTGACACTACAAATGTTTTCAAGCGCCTTTCCGCTCCTCTCTTTCAATCGGGAAAGAGGAGCACTTTTACAGCATCAAGTGGACTTGAATATTACGTTTACGATTCGCGCTAAATTTACTCCTTTCCCGGAAGAGAAGCGAGACGGGAGGCGGACGTGTTTTTACGTGGAGGACAAACGTCAACGCGAGACGAGTGCCGTTACTCCGGTAACACGAGTCGACTCCGTTCTACCCGCGTACCGTATCGCCGACGTTTCTCTACGTACCATCTCGTTACCGTTGATTAATCACCGCGTCCAGTCCAGCAGGTGGGAAATAATCGCCGCGATCGCATTAACAGAACCCCAAACACGACACTCCTGCTATGAAGTTAGGACGTGGCCTGTGCCACGAGCGAAGATGGCGCCGGCGCGTCACGCGCCGTCCGTCGAATTCCGCGCGAGAATGAATCTTGCTCGGGCGCGCGATCTCGAGCTGTCCGAGCGGTTATCGACGGAATGCCATTGAGCAATTATTAACGGAGCCTCGTTGGCCGCAGCGAACGTCAGTTTACCTGAAAAGAAAAATATGAGGTTAGATTACGTGAAGACTCGCTCGGTAAATCGCACTCGATGGATAACATTTAACTGTCCTCACGTTGGTAACGCGAACAATTACCTGCCGATAATGCAAATTGCTCTACGATGCACTATTAAAAAAAAATTAAAATAATAAACAATAATTCGCAAACCAACCAAGAATGGCGTGTCTTTTCTTTTGTCTTTCAAGCACGAAAGAGAAAAGTTGAAATGCAAATTAAGGGATTGAGCGCACTGTTAATATTTTGTAATTACACATGCACACGATATCAACGTGATATTAATAAATAATCATTGAAAATAACGAGTCTCCCCTTTTCTCTGCTGTCAGTCCTTCTCAATTTGCGTCACTCCTTTTTAATTGACGCTGACTAATTCGCCGGTGGTATCGACGAAGGCGAGGCATTACGTAAAACACGTTTTACCCGTGACGTGTTTTTACGCGGCGAAATATTAATTTACATGACAGATCACGTTTAAATCAGCGGGACAAATTGGCGGCGCGGGGATCAATAATGACGCATTGTTACGATTGATTTCGCTAGCGTTGCCTGGCAGTGACACGTATTCGATATCGAGTTTCCCTGATTATTACGGCGAGAGGAATGCATAACAATATATCCAATCGAGACGAAAAAAAAAGAAGAAGAGCGACGCAGGTGCACGACCGGGCATTAGTCGCGGCGGGTTCTTCAACGAGCGAAACTGCATTCGCAGCATAATGTCGTTTCCACTTGCGCGCTGCGTCTCTCCTCGCCTTCTTATTCTCGGTAGCTCGGATTTCATTGATATTTCTCGCCCGAGTTTAATACGACTTTTATTAACCGATCTCACGCGTAGATATATCGATTTTCCCTCGAGAAAACGCGAAAGAGATTACGCAGCGAATTGTAAAGGAAATCTTTTGCAGCGATCGGGATGTGCGGTAAATTGGGACTCGCGCTTACCTTGGACGACAGGATGGCACTGTATCAGAACTGTACGATTTTCGACAAATCGGATATGTACGGCGGTCCGGTGTGCGGCGACAACGGCGTGACGTATGCCAACAGCTTTTACTTGGATTGCAAGAATCATCACAGTCGCGAGACCGGTAAAGTGCATCTTGTTTTTCCAATTAGAAAGAAAAAGCAAACGTCGTGTTGCGCATATCATTTTGGAATCATAATGAGATGCTAATATAAGTCGTGCTTCATGAATATATAAATATGAACATTACAAGTCTTATAAAGTATTATAAGTATATATTTAAATGCATTAATCAAAAGCAAAGTGTTTCTTAAGTGTGTCACGGATTTTTTTTTTATTAATGTATTGGTTTCCACATATCGACAGAAACTAACGACACGCCATAGCGCGTAAGGATCACGTGAAATATTGGAATAATAATGAGACGTTGATGCATTGTAAATAAATTGCAGGCCACGCAAAGGGGTTTACAGAAATATAAAAAAAAAAATGCCGTTTGAAATTTTTCCGACCGTCTAATTTAACATTTTCTTTTTAGTTGCCACGTTGCATTCCGGCCCGTGCTTGGAGAACGAAGAATATTGCAGTGTCGACCTGTATTACGAGCCGGTTTGCGGCTCGGATCAGAAGATTTACACTAATATGCAATCTCTACTGTGCGTTCGTCACAGGCACTCGAGGGGTAAGCAATATTCACCGTCTCACTTTTTACGCGTATATTTAATATTTATTTCGAGCGAGTTTCAAATTAAAGTTGACGAAAGTTCGACGACGCTAACTTTAATCTGCGTCGTAACGTTTCTCCGAGTCCTTTCCTTATTTTTCTAAAGTTTCCTCAGTTTATTAACTGTTTTGTTTACCAAGAGGGATATCTTTTACCATTTGCATTTGTGTTGCGTTTCTGGCTAACTACGGATAATTTAACGAGCATTTAGATCTCATTCTTACACGGAGGGAATTTTCTTTTAAAATTTAAAATCGCGTAATCGTGGGACAACTGGCATTTTCAAGAACTTTGTGAGAGTTTTTTGAAATTTTACCATACACTTTACTAGTAAAATGTATACTGAGTATAATTTCTAGTAAAGTATATGGTAAACAAATTAATAAAACTCGTATGGCTCAAATGTGATGAACACAAATTTGAAGGAATAAAGGACTGAGAGCCGTGACAGGGTGTTAGTGTCTAAATATTTTATTCTAAATTTATTGCGAATTGTATATGGTAAAATTTCCAAAAACTCTCAAAGTTCTTCGAAGTACCAGGTTGGCCCACGATTACATACTTTTCGGGGTAAATTTTAAGCGGAAACGTAAAGAATTATTTAACGCCAGCCATTGGTCGTCACGCAATTTTTCTACATTGTTTAAGAGGAAATTCTCTCCGGCGTAGAAACCCGAAAGATCTTACAATTAGCGCATTTCGTATTTTCTTTAATCGCGAGCATTTTCACTGCCCATTCAAATTGTTCTCTGTTTCAGACCTGACAGCCGTGCCAATGACGGACTGTCCCCAGAACGATCACTGCTACCGAGGTGGCACCAAACATTACGGGATGAATCCGGTCTGCGCTAATAACGGGCACAGTTATCAAAACGCGGCGCAGCTCAAGTGCCTGCAACGATATAATCCCGGTAAGGGATTACGACGAAAGTTATGCAGAAGCGTTTAGTTATGATTCGCCTAATTGCCGGCAAGTAGTCGGAAATAACGTTCAAACTCCTCCGCGCGCCGGTACCTTCGCGCTCTCTTAAGTCTCGCGACGCGACGGTGCTGAATTAATTTAGAGCCCCGCTTTGAACTAAATGTTTCGCCGGCATAACCCGGTTATCCCTCTGCGGACGATGGATTACGATTTACATCCGAATCAAGATAGTTTCCCGTCACTGTGACAGCCATGCAGATTCAAACGCGATTTTCTATTAACTTCATTAACGCGCGGAAGAATCGTGGCGAAATATGTATATCAGATTTATCTCATATACGCGGAATTATCATAATTCTTGGAAGGGAGAAATTGGAGCACTCAGAACAGTCGCGGCGAGGGTTAAAATAATAACCGTAAATTTAGATTTTATTATAAGTATGCAAATCATACGAGAAATCACACAATTGGAAAATATCATGTGCGTATCGCAGCCATTGCATGCTTGATTAGTCTTGGAATACACTCACCGTGAAAACTTACATGTAAAATTTCTTGGGTAAAAGTACAAATTTATATATTTCCGCTATTAATAACCGCTGCACTTATTATGTATGTGATTTTACATACTTTTTACCGTGCTCTTTAAAAATCAATCAATGAATTTATCACTGAAAACAATGAACAGTCGCTATTTTCCAGTTATAATTGCAAATCAGTGACTATTCACGGTTTTCAGTGATAATTCATTGATTGACTTTTCGCGAGCACAATTTCTTAGGATCTCTTTTTTATTTTTCTAGAATTGCAAATTGTTCACGACGGCGGTTGCCACGTGGAATTTGTTCACCAGCTTTATGGCCAGGCGGTTTGTGATCTCGCGAAAGGGAGATACGAGTGGAATCCGGTCTGCGCGTCGGATGGAGTCACTTATCCGAATCCTTTTGTCTTTCTTTGTTATCGCTCACGTGAGTAATAAAATATTCTGCCACGTAAAGCAAATAATTCTTGCAATATTCCACAGAGAAATAATTGTACGCAGATTTTGCTCGTTTTAACGGAAATTTTCATTTACCGGTCGAAGAATATAGAAATAATTTTCTTTATGCAACAGTCGTTTATTCATAAAGTTCGTCGATGAGTTTCTCCATTCAATAGCTCATATTTCGCGCACGCGGTCTGCTTTTTAATTTGAGGAGCGCGCGAATGCGATTTAATTTTTAATACGGAAATTCTGCGAATGCACTTTCTTTAATTCAGATCTGAAAGTAATTTCCAACGGGGAGTGCGACACGCACAGCCACGAGTCCTGCATACAGGCGCACACGAACACGACGGTTTTGCCGAACGGCGAATACGTGAACGACGCCTTCACTACGGACGACGAGGTTTGCGGGAACGACGGCCGCACGTATCAGAGTATACATCACTTGCAATGCCACACTCGTCACGATAAATGTGAGTCTTGCGTCGCAAGATAGATGGCAAGTGAAAGACTCGACGCTGAACAGAATGCTATTTCGGGGTGCATCCAAGCGTGGGTCGCGGCCCAATTTAAATACATCGTCGACTAGCGTCTCTCGAAATCCAGCCATTTTCATTGCGCTCCAATTATTCGTGAAGTTTCGAAAATACAGATAAAAATTGCTCGCGAAAAGTTTGAATTTCGGCAAGCTCTTTCCACGAAGGGATAATAAGCGGCTCTCAACGTTAGAGGGGAAAGATGTGATTTTACCATTTTACGTCATTGATTTTTCATGAAGTTGAATTATTACGCGAGGACAATGATATCGCGCGTTCCGCAGATGTGTTTCTGAGGCATCACGGATCGTGTTCCGGGCCGGATGACTACCCTTGCGGTTCGGTACCGGAAGAGGAGCACAGAGAGCCGGTGTGCGGTACCGACGGCAAGTCCTACGTGAGCCCGGAGGCCCTTTGGTGCGCTAAATTACGCTCCCCGGAAAGAGGTGAGATTTGTAACATCATACTGCGTATCTGTGATAAATCCCGGACGAATTCTTCCCTTCACGCACCGTTCGTGTTCGCGCCAAGGTATTTTCACTCAGAATTCCCTCTTCGCTCATTAACCTGCTTACGCCGCGTAAAATTGCGCGCGTTTCGCGTAATTTCGACTTTGTCCCGATGTGCGAGCGTGGATTTTCGACGTAACAGGAAAAACGCAATTTTACGGCAATTTTGGGGACTATCCGGGTACATCGCTGTTACGTACGCGAGAATGTCCTGCTGTCGCGGCATCTCAAACGGCGGAAGAAGCGATCCCGCGCGATAAAATCTATTGAGCACAATTACGTCGCAGGACAAATCGCGATATTCGTGTGCGACGTTGACGACGCTGATTGTCTCGATTAAGATCGTAACTCATGCAGCCTCGAGTGTTGAAACGCGACGATAGAGAATGCAGGAGGACACAGTTTACTCTCGGGATAGAGGCGTTTCTCGATCGATGACCGATCGAACTTTCCAAGGTGGTTAACGAGACGGTTTTTGTTGCAGGCATTGCTTACAGGCACGACGGTCCATGCTAACGAAGAATTGTCAGGATTGTCAGGAATTATGCGGAAGAATATTAAGCGCGCGGTAGAAACGATATTATTACGCATACCCGAAGGAAAATACTCGAATCACATATGGAAGACGAAGAAGTTTTCAATATTTGTCATGGACAAAGGAAAATATAGTTTTTCAATTTTCTCATCGTCGGAGAACAATACGTTAGTGCTAGAAGAGCGTTTTGTTAACCTTAAAGAAAGAGTTAGAATAAAATTTTAGAAAATATAAGAATATTGTAATTTATAATAGCACTAAATAGAATTAATTATAATAATATATTCGATTAACTTCCCAATTTTCTAGCCTGCGTTGTTAAATACGGTACTTACCCAGCGAGAAGCGAATCGTCGATCGATGTCGAAACGATGTTGAGTCGACGTCAATTTGACGGAGTCGGTTTCGATTCGACATCGTTTCGACATCGATCGACGAGTCATTTCTCTCGCTGGGTATTGCCAAGTTGCCTCTTTTAGTACATCTATGCATTTAGTTTTATATTATTTCCTTGTATTTTCTTGTGAATTTCCAGAATAAAATCGTGTTACATAAAAACGGCACGACATACCTAAGTATATGTATAAGTACATGGAAATTCACAAGAAAATACAAGGAAATAATATAACACTAAATGCATAGATGTATAAAAAAATCGATAACGTTAACAAATTTATATGTACGTATATGGAAATACATAATACTTATATTTACATTTATAGAAATATATATAGGATTGTATCTTTATATGACAAAAATAAAATATTTATTGCGTATGCAAATTATACAATATTAGAAAAATCAGCAACTAAATTTTAACCAGGTCCTAAATGGCTTTTACGTTTCTAATCGATTTAGAAAAATAAAACTGTTAACGTTCTCTACCATAACTTGATTCCCCTTTAAATTTTTAAACTTTCCTCGTGTGCATCGTGAATGTTAGAGAATCGATAAGATGATAAATACACCGAGGATAATATTGCTCGTTTGTTCAACTGTAGATCCCGTGCGCGCAATCTTTTTTTTCGCTTAAAGGACATAAATAAAAAATAAGCTTCAACATTCCCGTTCCAATTATATCAAGCGCCTATGTGGCTCTTATTTTCCTTACTATTTTTAAAGAAGATTGTATTTTACTTCCATTTATCCCTAACAGTTTGTTGCATTATCGCTCGTGGAATGTACACGTGGGTGGTATATAATGTGTAAATGCATGTGAATGTTCGCATATATCGAGTTCGGGTCGGTAGGTTTGGGTCGGTAGGTACGCTAAGCCCAAATGACTATGCGGATCAGTCATCCCTGCGGGATGCGCGCATGATGCAAGGTAATCTCGTAGAACGTCATCTATAATTTATCCGAACGGTGTTTTCACCGTAATGCAACTACCATTTCGAAGAGAGAAACATACGTTATTTCGAATAGGTTAAGGTCGTCTTCAGAGCTATTTTTTAAACAATTGCCGCGGCCCCGTAAAAGGTACGAAACGCAGGCGGAGGAAAAAGAAAAATAAACGATAAGTGGCGACAGCGTGTTACATATATACTTTTGAATAATTTATATACATCTCACGTTTAAGAGAACATCTTGCCGTTTTATTCGGTGAGAGTATCAATTTCGCATCGATCCCTTATTCGTGATGTATAATGCGCGGTAATATTGAGTGAAGAATTTTTTTCCCCCGATACCAACAGCTTAAACAATTTGTCATACGATACTTTTACTATTTTATAATAATTTAAACGATTTTCAATTAAATTTTGATCATTACTTTTGCACGAACTTTTTCACGTTTTTTTTATATATTTCGAAATTATAACTTATATGTACCATTTTTAATCTTTAAACCTTAAAAGTTTTAAAATGGTACATACCGGAATCTTAAATTACCAACATTTTTTCTTTGGAGATATCTTTGAATTGATTTGACAAAGTTTATTTCTTTTACACGATTAAGAGAGTTATCGATTTTATATAAAACGCAATTTTACCAATTTTGTGTCATGTTCCGCGATCATTGCTGTGAAAACACTTTCTTAACTACACATAGCTCAATCTCTATTTAAGGAACTTCTATTTGATAAAAAGGTAATGAGTATTAGTTACCGATAGATTATTGATAAAACTGATATTAAAAGCGGTTATATGAAGACAATATTTTATAAAACTCAGTCAAAGAAATTTAACTATTGGCACACACATATACTATATTTGACGAAACTCAAAGAAAATGACCAAGAAGCAAAAATAGACAAAGTTTTGACGTAAAATAATGATCAAATTGATAAATACGCGACGAATGATGCCGAACCGATTCTAATGTATGCAATTTTAATAATGTAATTCCCGTTTTGAGAAACGTTAAATGTTTCACAATATCGCGTCTACGATTTCACTTATATAATGTCGAATATAAACCGAACGATATAATTGATGAACGCGCGTATGAAATTCTAATTCCCGCGCTACTTTCAACGGCGCATGGATTTTAAAAGTGATAAAAAAATCGAGTGAAAACCGCGTTATTACCGCATTAAGTGAACGATAATTGACTCAATAATTTGACCAGATCAAAATCCCCCTGCCGAGTGCACGTCGGGTAGTATCCGACGCAGAGAAGTACGATCCGTATGATGGAGAGTGAGCTATGCTCTGATTCTGTCATATTCCAATTTGGAATCAATCTGCGGAGGAAAGTTAAGAGATCCGTTGAATACCAAGGATCCCGCTGCGGGAGGAAACGAATCCCGAACCTTCCGGTTGCTCCCGATACCATCATTTCGGTAAAGGATTAACAACTATCGGCTTTTCCCAAATATTTGTATAATGTATGTTTTCAAAGTATTTTAATCGGCATCTATTATCTTTATAAGAATAGATTTTCAATCAAGACCGACGTGCTAAAATATATTCTCTCATTGTTAAGAATTAGAAAAAAAGCATGGATAGAATCAGGGTTGGGAAGTAACTCGTTAACTTAAAACTTAACTCAGTTGCATTTTTTCGATAACTGTTTAAAATATAATCATCACTTATAAATAGGCGAAGTTTCTTCACCGAACGCTCCTGATTCAACATCAACACTCATGGTGACGCAATTAAGAGCGAATTAATTAATTAATTGTCACAATATGATGACTGCGATACTTTATTAAACAGTCCCGAAATGAAACGATTGTGCCACTCGCCCGTTACATGCACTTAAATTCGTCGCGAGATTCGACAATATTCATATCGACTCCGCGCTGGTACAATGCAAGCTGATTCAGTAATCGATTGAGAAAACTATCTAAAAATACACTCGAGATACGCGCATAAATTTCGTGAGACATAAATGCAATTAAACGGACCGCAGATCACATTCCGTTACTTGATCCCACATCGTAACACGCGCGACACTTGTTGACGAAAATACTTGTACACGAAAGTTAATTATAATCACGCGGCACTTTACGCGACACTTCCGACGTTAATTGTCACCGACACTCTACTGTATTTCAAACATAAACAATCAATTGAGATCACGGGTGAATGTACGCGACGCGATCAAAGCTTGGCACTCTCGTCGCGTGTCACTTCGATTGCCCACATGCGAATAAATCGCGTAAAGTACGCTGCTCGACCGAGTATTTATCGTTTCGACACTTGTGCGAATCACTGAACGCAAGAATTAGTTAATGCGGAAGATAATTACGTATGCGAAGAGCGATCGAGAATGGTCCTGACGCTACGACACACGGAATGACTCTGAGCTCTCTGCCGCTCCGGTGACCCCGCGCGAACAAAGCGTGCCGCGTTCGCCGACAAAAACGTGTCAGTTCGTTATTATTCTTTGAAAAACATTTTCACACTTAATTGTAATATACATTTTTCGTGAAAATTTGAATTGGACCACTGATTATGTCGAATCGCCCCGTGTCTATCGCATTACGTTTTATCGCGACGATGGATATGCCAGCAACTCTAATTGCCTTTAAAGCTTGATTAAAGATTTATGAAATAATAATAAATTTAATACTACAGTACACCCGATTGCGTAACAGGCGGAGTTAACCTGCCGCGATGATTCAAGAGGCGCTCGGAATGATGTCAAGAGAATAATTTTTACGTGCGTAATTCGTCTCTTCCAACTAGATATTTATTATATCTAATTATTAATTTTCCAAAAACATCTTCACAAAAATTAACTTTCATAAAATTTAAGAGGTTTTTCTTCCTCTAAGGGCCGGTTTCATCAAACGTCGCTTAACTTTAATCCTAGTCTAATTCATGTCTGTCTCTTTCTAAAGCAACAGTTGGAAGGAGACAAAGAATGAGGTAAGCTAAGCTTAAAGTTAAACAACGTTGGCGAAACCAGACCTATAAAGTATTCTTCACTTATCGAGATAAAACGACCCGATTAATGACCGAAACTTTTAAGTAGATAAGAAATAATATTCACCTCAGGGTTGCTTCGCCAGGCCCTCTCTTCCTCTCAGAACCTTTCGTCACGCAGGACACTCACCGCACGACTGTTCAATATTTCGCGGTTCAGAGCCAAGTAATAGTACGATAATCACGATATCTTGTAAAGACACTCCCGAGATGAAACGACCGGCGTAACACGGCCGCGCTTCCATTAACTAAACCCGACATTCGCCGGGAAATTCGAACGTTACATACCGAGGCCGCGCGGTACAACGCGAGTCAAGCAGTCGAATCGCATTCGCGAGGGAACCGTTCGAAAACGTACACTCGAGACACGCCCGCGGTACAACTCGTGCGCGTAAATTCCGCGAGATGCAAATACAATTAAACGGTCAACAAGGATACTTCATTATGTAAACCGCAGGATTCGCGTACTCCGTCACATTAAACCGCACCGACGATTCGCGTATTATTCCGCGCTCGCGAAAGCGGTGACCAAATTATTTTCGAATTAATGAACGATCGGAACCGCGTTCGTGAATCCGTCGGAAGACAATCGTCGTCCGTTTAATAAATCGTCACAAAACGTTACTCCAGCACACCGATCAACCTTTTCGTCCCATAAGATTTCTATAACCCACGTGAGACGCGTGCAGCGACCAGGTACTCGATTCTCGAATTCATTCCAACGAGAAACGTATGCGAAAATTCTGCTCTTACAAAAAAGTTGCAAGTTGATCAACTGTTCGCATGGTTTTTAGCCAATCGACTTTCAACTTCTCCGTGAGAGCAGAGTTTTCGCATACGTTTCTCCTTCGAAGGAATTCAAGAAGTCCCAGCGGCTCGTGAGTCGACGCGAGCGGCGGGAATCGGTCGGTCGCGGAAACGAGTACTCGTAATCCCCACGATTGAT